ATATATATATATATATATATATATATATATATATATATATATATATATACATATATATACATATATATATATATATATTTTTTTTTTAAATATACAAAAAAACTGGCAAAACAAATATGCATTATATTATATTATATGATTCATTCATTTTTCTCTGATTTATTGATGTCACCACAGTGGAATGAACTGCCAATTATATTATATTTTATTGTTTTGTATTGTATTCTATTGTATTGTATTGTTTTGTATTATATTATATTATATTATATTATATTATATTATATTATATTATATTATTCATTCATTTTGCTTCGTATTAGTCCCTGATTTATTTAGGTCACCACAGTTGAATGAACCACCAATTATATTATGTTATGTTATGTTATATTATATTATATTATATTATATTATATTATATTATATTATATTATATTATATTATATTATATTATTCATTCATTTTGCTTCGTATTAGTCCCTGATTTATTTAGGTCACCACAGTTGAATGAACCACCAATTATATTATGTTATGTTATATTGTATTATATTATATTATATTATATTATATTATATTATATTATATTATATTATATTATATTATATTATAATATATTATATTATATTATATTATATTATATTATATTATATTATATTATATTATATTATATTATAATATATTATATTATATTATATTATATTATATTATTCATTCATTTTCCTTCGCATTAGTCCCAGATTTATTGAGGACACCACAGTGAAATGAACCACCAATTGTATTATATTACATTACATTACATTTGATGAAATTATTATTGCAAAAATATGTTTTGCATAAATATACAATGCAATAAATGCACATATATATATTAGTTTTAATGATCTGTTACTGATAAAATGTTCTCCATCCACATTTTGTTGTATTTTATATGATGTATATGAACATGTAATCATTTTGAAATATATATATATTGTTGCTTTCCAAACTGTATTTCATAGATCCTAACATTATACAAACATTTTATCCCCCCAAAAAAATTCATATGAGATGTAACACAGTTTTTCACAGGCTTTTGTGTTTAATTTAACATAGAATCAGACAAATTATGCCATTGATTTATAAAAATGAAATCTTTTAGAGTGCAGCTTTAAGAACAGGAATAGCTTTTGCAGAAAGCACCATTAATGTTCAGTTGTTTCTGACCATTTTGCATAAAAAGCTCTAAAAGAAATAAATTTTGCTACTTTCACGCTTTCTTCACCTCATGTGACATCTGACATCCTCAAGCCGCTCTCATCAAATTGCAAGGACAGAAAATTTGTCAGTAAATGTCATAAACGACTTCTTGAAAACGCTGTCCATTAACACCAATCGATGTGCGTGTAATTGCTGCAGTCCTGCATGTATGACGTCTTGTGATGCTAACAGATTTTGCATCGATTCGTTTACTCGTATTCCTTTGCGTAAAATCAATTATGCCATTTTTTCCAACCCTCTTGGTCTGTGTCTACTGTGCGTGCTTGTTAATGCGGTCCGTCAAGAAGTCTTCGCAAGTATAAATTATTCATCTGTGGTGCTACTTTTAGATCCACTATCAAGAACAACGACATCCTAACAAGGCCATTTCAAATCACAGAAGACTGCCAAATAAATGACATCTGTAGTTATATTCTGAAGTCTTTAAGTTACGCACACACATCTAGTCAAATACATGAAGCACTTGTATTTTTATAGTAAATTTAAATTACCATTACAAGTAGAAATTAATAGCATATTTGCTTTGATTCCAATGTTTTTTTTACCAAACTTTTATGAAATTATAGAATAAGAATGTTTTTACCTCTACACTGAGAAAAGCTAAAAGTTGTATTTTATCATGTGTTTGCTGAATTAGAAGTAGTATTATATACAGTATTTTATTATGAAGGTTTATTAGGAAGGCTTTAAATATGGAGTAGTTTTACTGTCTGATTGTTATTGAATATTTTTACTATTATTTTTTATTTAATGTATCATAGTTATTTTGTTAACACTAATCTCATAAAAATATATTTAAAAAAAAAAATATTTTATTTCAACTTCATGTAAAACTGAAAATGAAACCATAAAGGTAAATACTATATTATTTTCTACTTAAATTATTAGAACAGGATTTCTAAAGGTTTTACAAAGTCAAAGACTTTTTAAGACCATTATGAAGAACATTTCAGACTTCTATAAAACTAAACGCTAAGGATCTTTTCTGGTTGGGCCAATGAAAAAGTACAATTTCATTTGAGTTATATCGTAACCACATATTTTAAATGTCAAAACAAGCTAAATCTGGTTAAATCATTTACAAAACTATAATAAACTAAATTTATGCAAATAAAAGTTATTGTAAGAAAGATAATTGCACCATATTGCGTCATGGTAAAAAGAAAAAGTAAAGGTTTTATTTAGATTGCATTATTGGTGATTGGGTAGCGTTACATAAAGAAAAAATAAGACCCGTTTAAAGTTATTAAAGACCTACAACACCAAATTTCAGTAAATTTAAGACCTTTTAAGGCCTAAAATTTGAAATTTAAGACATTTTAACATTTTTAAGACTCTGTGGACACCCTGTAGAAATTAATTTACTAAAAAACAGAGAATGAGAAAAACAAACAAAATTTCATTTTATATATACATATATATTTAGTTAGCAAAATTATTTAGTTTTATAACTAAAGCTAAAATATACAAACAAAATGATTATTTGTTGATATTAAATATCAAGTTAAATTCAATAAAATATGAGAAATGCTATTTTTATGGTTAGAAGAATTTGACGATGTTTTAAAAATAACTAAAACTTGCATAAGGATTTACAGTGCTCAGCATATATGAGTGCACCCCATTTTGAAAATGAATATTTTTATCCATTTCTCTGTGAAAATGGGAAATATATATTGGTGCATTTGAACAAAACAGATTTATTAAACATATATATTTATTAAAATAATATTTTAGTCACAGAACATCTTTAGAAATGGAAAGATAATTCATTTAAATTCATAAATTCATGCAAAATATTGAAAAAAAATACAAACTACAACATTTCAACAAAATTGTATGGTTATTTTATTTTTATTTTTTTTTCTCTTCATTTTTGTTATTTTTGAAAATTTTACTCAATATTTTTCCCTAACATACAGTCAGGCTACTAATTTTTGAACCATTATTGTAAGTTATTTTGTTGAATATGCTCCAGATTTGGCTTCAGTACTGACTAAACTAATGTATATGCACAAATATAATATTGTAAAGCATCCTATAGAAAATATAAATTAAAATGAGAGATTTGTGGAGGTGTACTTACATATGCTGAGCACTATAATTTAATAAAGATTTAATCGACAAATCGAATCACATAATGACTAAAATTGAGAATATGATATGACATTTTTAACAAAAATTATAACACTTTCTGTTGATAGTAACAATGCATAAAATAGGTTGTGAGGTCACTTCAACTGGTCATTACATGTAAATAAGAGTGTTTGCAGCACTAATGAACGCACTGAGAGTCTTAATGTAAATATGTAGATTATTTTTCTTATGTGTGTGTGTCTGTTTCTCTCAGTGGGGCTCCACGGGCTGCAGTTGAGGCTGAAGCGAGAGCCTCACAGTCCCTGTGCTGATCTGGGCTCAGCCTGCAGTCAGGAGAGGCCCTTCAGACTCCACTATGGGGAGAAGTGCCTCTATAACATCAGGTACACACACACACACACACACACATACACTAGAGTTGCACAATTAATTGTTGAAATATTGCAAATTTTTTATTTTTATTTTTTTATCTGTTTGCAGTTATTCTCTGATGACGTGTACTTATGTATCTAATGCACTTATTTATTTTTCTTGTTTTTTTTTTTTAATTGAGTTAATGAACGAGGGGTTAGGGGATGGGATTAAAAATGAGCAACATTTAATATTTAATTAGTTTTGTCATACAAAAAAAACAAAAAAAAAACAATAAAACGATTCAAATAAATATTGCAAATTTGCAAATACCCACACAATCTCATTCTAAAATGACCGGTAAAGAGTAAAGTGACTTATTTAGAATTGTGGGGAAAACGTTATGTAAAATGTATTCATTTTGATTCCCAGTTTATGTTAGGTAGTATAATAGTATAATCACAGTGAACATTGTATAATCGTGAACAGTGAACAGTGTATAATCGATAGTATAATCACAGTGAACATTCAGATGTTGTGTTTGCTGGGTTGTTTGGATATAAACACTACTTGTATACAGTAAAGTGTCAAAATAAAGTAAATATGTTAAGATAGAGGTGAATAGGTGACAAGAAGCAGCTGTTAAAATGTCACAAATCATGGATTCAAATGTTTTGTTCAAAAAAGCTGATTCATTCAGCGATGAATAAAGTTTAGCTAGAATGTTATAGAATTAAACTGAAGGTTAGTTCTTGATTTGTAGAATGTTCTTCTAATATTCTTCTAACATTATCCTAACCTCTTTGTTATGATTACATTAATAAACCATTAAGTAAGTGATTCATTTTTTTTACTATTGAATTGATTTGTTGCTTTTCAAAAAACAATGAAAAAAAGATTCAATTTCGCAATGTTTAAATAATATAAAAAAATTACAATATTTTACATTATAATATGTTATATACAATATAAATATATTTACAATATTTAATATTTTTACTTCTAAATTCAGATGTATCTGATTATTATGATACATTTTGACTAATTTCAATATTTTATTGAATGCTGTATTAAATTTTTTTATAAATAAAGTGAAAATAATAACGTATATACTAAATCACATTTTGGGAATGAGTTCTACAGGTTTTATTATTTATCATAATAAAAACAATTATTAATAATTTCTCAAAAGTAAATATCCAAACTAACACTCTAATCACTAATGCTCTGTGTTTGCTGGGGTGTTCAAATTTGAAAAATTGTGTACAGTTTTAATAAAGAAAAAAATAATTTAAATAAAAGTAAATAAAAGCATCTGTTAGCTGAATAAATGTAAATGTGAATTACAAGCACCTATTAAAATCTGTTAGTGACTGAAAGATTTATTTAAATGATTTGTTCAAAAACGCTGATTTTACACACTATTTTATTTCAAATTAATAATATTTTGTTCGAAAAAACGTATGTTCTGTCGACTATTCAGAATTGTGGAGGAATCGTGACCTTTATTTTATTTTTTTAAAGTCTGATTTTTCATTTAACCAGAATCCTGCATCTGCATTACATACAAATTATTCCTATTTTGAAATTGAAATCTAAGATTAACATACAATACTTGTATATCTTACATGCAAATACAGACAAGATCAATGCCAGACATGCCAATCTGGGAGAAATCTGTGTGAAACCATAAGTGTTTCTGCACCAAAGCAGGGAAAATCAACTCTAAACTTTATACATTAAGTGAGTGTCTAACATCACATATTTTGCTTTGCAAATTCAGCCTCGACAGCTGGTGTGAGAAACTTAAGTGATAAATGGCCCCGAATATGTCTACATACATTTGCGAATCATCCCATTTAACAAGCTATTTTTAATCAATCATTTATCAATTTAAGCTGTGCTGTTTTCCTAATTACAGATGTTTGGCGAAAAAAAAGCTGATTTAGTAATGCAAAGGTAGCTTTTGTTATTTGCAATGTTCGTAATTCTGAATTTCAGATATTCACATGCTTTACCTCCAAATGCAAGGTGTGCGTTTCACTTTTTAATACGTGACTAAAGCCTGAATAAAAGCACAGACGTTCATTTGACAGATCAGCCCAAGCCAAGAAGAGTCTTCAAGATTATGGAAGAAATAAATGCACAATAATAATAGTTTTGCTTTAGTTATTTACTCAAAGGCAACCGTACAGCAGGTGCTGTTGGAAATGACTTTGAATGAGATCCACCTGAAATTGGAAAGGGTGAAGAAAACACACACAAAAAAAGAAAGAAAAAAAAAACAAGAAATTACGCTACGGTGCATTAAGTGCAATAAATGGCTTTTCCACTTGGACAAGCGTCTACAGCAAACACGGTTGCTTGGTTACAGTCATCTTCCTATTGATTTGATTTTAAATTTATGACATTTCACTTGGATGTTTTATTTCGCTGGAGGAGCCGACCTGCCCTCATATTGCAGATGGCACTCAAGCCGAACCAACAACCTCAGTGATAATGATGTTCTCTTCAGAGCTGCTTTGGAGATTGTCAAGCCTCATAGACGTCTGTTCCTTCCTTGTCTTTTAATGCTTCTGAATGGAGTGTAATTGCGTTAAGGTTCATCTCTGACAAGATGTCACATGTTTTCTTTACGGTACCTTGTCGATTGTGGCATTTAGGGATAGATTTTGGAGAATTGTGGGTTTTTTTTATTGTTAGATCATAAAACTGCAAAGAATTGAAGGTTTATTTAGCAGGCATGCAATAAAAAGTATCCAAGCAATTCATATTTGCAATAACCTAAATATAAATAGATCAAATATATAACTTTTTTCATTTGAGAATCATAAACAAATGTATCCGTTTACACAAATATATAAAACAGCGCTGTTCAGTATTGATTGTAAAATGGGTTATAAAAATATTGCATTGAGTTGAATTTTGCTGTTGATAATAATAAAAAAAATCTCAAAAATCAGTTCAAGACACTCGAAAACTGTGGAAAAATATTCAAATATATTATTTGAATATTTTTCCACATTTTTTAAATGCCTTGAACTGACTTTTGCTGTTTATTCTGATGAATCTCTAACCCAAAGAGCACCGACACATTATTTAAGCTACCCATGTGCCCCTTTTGTTTGATTTTGAATAATAAAAACCTGTTTAAAATAAATGCAAAAAAAAAATTTTTATATTCATCAGATGTCTCTAAAGTTAATAAAAATATTAAACAGCATTAATGTTTTCAACAATAAAAAAACAGTGTTTTTAAATTCATTGAATGACACTTTTTATGAAAAACAAAAACACAACCGGTCACTTTGGGTCAGTTTTTTTTGCAATAACATTGCAATAACATTTCACAATTGTACAATGTGTACTGTATTTTTGATTAAATAAATGCTGCCTTGGTGAACAGGAGAAGCTTATTTTAAAACATTTAAAAATCCTACTGACTCCAAACTTTTGACATGTAGTGCACATCAAAGTAGAAAACAGCTCTTTTAGTATTTCACAAATAATACTGTGTAAATTCGTCCTTGTTGACCTCAGACTTTTGAAAAAACATGTACAGCAGTTGTATATTTTTTAAATACATTAGTTATTATTTAAAATATAATTGTAATTAAGTGTTTTATTGTGACTTTTTAATATAGGTCAAATATTTTGGTCATGCATTTTGCTTAATTTGTAGCGTATGCATTTTTTTTATTATGTGCATTTAATTTCTGTTGATATCCCCCAAATTAATTTCAAAAGATATCAAAATTAATTCCTGGCCATTTTTAAAACAGCAGTTTTGCATGCATTATGTATTGTGCTGCAGACGAGAAGCTTAAGCGTTTATGTTTTTTTAATTTTGCAGCCTAGCACTGTCTTGTAATAATCTCTGTAGCCTGAAAGGGCCTCAGGGAGGACTAAGTTAAACTGCTGTTCTCTGGTGTCTCCAGTGCCTACGAGCAGAAGCATCCGTCGGGAATGAAGGCCTCCAGCCCTGTGTCGACCCCCTGCAGCACCCCTGTGTCCCCTGGACAGCATGTGTCTCCCACTGCTGCCCCGACCCCCAAACCAGAGCGGACGTACCCACACCTCGCACCCCCACAGCCCCTGCCCGACAGTGCATATCCCATAGACCACAGGTACCAGAACACACTGATGGAGATGGATGGATGGATAGATGGATGACTATAGGGATAAACAGATATATAGAGAGATGGATGGATGGATCTGACTAGAATGACAAACAGATATAGAGGGTTGATTAGACAGAGACAGACAGACGGATGGATGGATGGATGGATGGATGGATGGATGGATGGATGGATGGATGGATGGATGGACGGATGGATGGACGGATGGACAGACAGACGGATGGACAGACAGACGGATGGATGGATGGACAGACGGATGGATGGATGGACAAACAGATATAGATGAATGGAAGAATAAACAAATATATGGATGGATGGTTGGATGGATGGATGGATGGATGGATGGACAAACAGATATAGATGGATGGGCGGATGAATAGATGGATAGATTAATGAATAGAGGAACAAATAAATGGACAAACAGATATAGATGGATGGATGAACGGGTGGATGGAAGACTAAAAGGACAAACAGATATAGATGGATGGATAATTGGGTGGATGGATGAGTAAAAGGACAAACAGAAATAGATGGATGGACGTATAGACAAATGGATGGATAGATAAATAAATAGATGAACAAACAGATATACAGATGGATGTACGAATATATGGATGGACGGACAGATGGATGGATGACTAGAGGGACACAGATATTGATGGATGGATAGACAGGCAGATGGATGGATGACTAAAGGGACAAACAGGTATAGATAGATGAATGGATGGATAGATGGACGGACGGATGGATGACTAAGGGACAAACAGATATAGATGGATAGATTAATGAATAGATGAACAAATTGATGGATGGATGGATGGATGGATGGACAAACATATATAGATAGATGGATGAATGGGTGGATTGATGTCTAAAAGGACAAACATGTAGATAGATGGACGAATATATGGACGGATGGATGGATGGATGGATGACTAGAGGGACAAACAGATATAGACAGATGAATGAATAATTATATGGATGGATGGATGGATGGATGGATGGATGGATGGATGGACAGACAGATATGGATGGATGGATGGATGGATGGACGGACGGATGGATAACTAAAGGGACTAACAGATATAGATGGACGAATAGACAAATGGACGGATATATTATTGAATAGATGAACAAACATGTAGAGATGAAAAGATGAATAGATAGATAAATGGATGGATTGATGGATGGATGATTAGACGGACAAACGGATACAGATGGATGGATGGACAGAGGGATAGATTACTAGAGGGACAGATATAGATGGGTGAAAGGAAGAATATACTGTATGGACGGACGGATGGATGGATGACTAGAGGGACAAACAGATATAGATGAGTGAAAGGAAGAATATATGGACGGATGACTTGAGGGACCAATAGATATAGATGGATGGATGAATGACTACAGGGACAAATAGATATGAGATGGATGGATGGATGGATGGATGGAAGAATAGACGGATGAACAGACAGAGAGATATTGTGTGTGAAATTCATCATGTTTAATGTATTGTTCAGATTCCGCCGGCAGTTGTCGGAGCCCTGTCATTCGTTCCCCTCTCCTTCAATGTCCCGGGACGGACGGCCCATGTACCATCGGCAGATGTCAGAGCCCAGCATCCCCTTCCCTCCTCAGGGCTTCAAGCAGGAGTACGTGGACCCCCTGTTCGAGCATCCGGCCATGATGGGGGCGCCGCTCCCCCAGCCGTACACACACTCCATGATGATCAAACAAGAGCCGCGCGACTTCACCTACGACTCAGGTGAGACGACGACATTAAACATAACACACTTTCTATGTAAATGTAAAGACAGGGAACAGAGGATTATAATTGTTATTTTATTATTATGGTATTGACATCCAGCCGCTTTATTCGGGATGGGGAGAGTGATAGAATTAGTGTGTGATTAGGAAATTTGGGTCTGATCTCATTTCCTGAGGGCCTGGCTGGAAAGGAGAGGGGCCCCCTAATCTGTCCCTCAGGGGCCCGCAGGCTGTCGGCGCAGCTCTGGCATGAATGAAGAGGCTTTTGGTTTTCATTCATGAAAAATGTCGGTGGACTGCAGCCGCTTCAGCTGCTTCCTGCTCACCATGGCAGTCTGTACAGCATAACCTGTTTAGGTTCCTGTTCAGTTCTATTCGTGCAACATTCACTTCCTACAGTTATCTGAGCAGTTGCATTCATTTAAAAATAAATACAAAAATATCTGATTGTGTTTTTGTTTTTTATTTTAAAGTTACATTTACATCAGATACTCAATTCCTAATTATATTATTAATTATAAAACTACATATTATTAGTGTATTATTATTGCATGTTACATAAATATTATACATGTTTTAGACAGAATCTGCTGACTTATATTATTTATTTATTACATATTATTAGTTTTTATTTTTAGGGCCAGACAGTTTCTGCTGACTTATTTTATTTTATTTATTTCTTACATACCATTAATTTTAATTAGTATTATTAGAAGCAGACAGAATCTGCTGACTTACTTTATTGATTTATTACATATTATTATTTTTAATTAGCATTATTGGGGCCTGAGAGAATCTGCTCACTTATTTTATGTGATTATTTAATGTATTTATTTATTACATACTATTAGTTTTTTTTTTATTATTATTAGGGCAAGACAGAACCTGCTGACTTATTTTATTTATTACATATCATTAGTTTTTATTAGTATAATTAGGGCCAGACAGAACCTGCTTACTTATTTTATTAAAATTATTTATTATATATTATTAATTTTTATTAGCATTATTAGGGCCAAACAGAATCTGCAGACTTATTTGATTTAAATTATTTATTTCATATTTCATATATATCATTAGTTTTTGTTAGTATTATTAGGCCCAAACAGAATCTGCTGACTCGTATTATGTAATAAATAAATTAAATAAGTTTTTATTAGCATTATTAGGGCCAGACAGAACCTGCTTACTTATATATATTTTTTTATTAATTTATTACATATTACATACATATCATGAGTTTTTCTTAGCATTATTAGGGCCCAAGAGAACCTGCTGACTTATTTAGTTTTATTTATTACATAATACATACATATTATTGGTATTATCAGGACTTATTTTGTCATTTATTTATTTATTTGTTTTTATATTTTATTTAATTATTTACAATTTATTTTTTATATTAGATGGATATTATATTTATTATTCATATAGTTTTTTATTTTATTTTTTGTAAATAGGAACTGAAAACATATTAACGTTTCAACTTTAATGTAACAATACAAATCCAATTATAACCACTTCCATCTGGTAATAAAGCTACAACAGGTCTCTCATATAATTCATTCATTAAAAACAGAAAATATGAATTTACCAGTTGGTTTGTGTTTAAATCATCTAAGCAAGATTTAAACATTAATATAAACACTAAACAAATACACATTACCATACATTTACATAAGCAAATACATAGATTGAATGATGGGCTCATATCTGTGGCTGCAGATTCTGTGTGGGTCAGGTTATTACAAAATATGAGTTATATAATTAGTAATTCCTGCATTATTATTAGTAGGTAACTCTCATTTTAGACATAATTGTAATTCTAAGTGGTTTAAATTGTAAAAGTGTTTTAAAATAAATGTATTTGAAATAATAAAAAGGAGTAAAATAAATAAAACAAAAGTAAGAAATGATTAAAAACAGATAAAAATGTGTTAATCTGTAAAAAATAATAAAAAATAAAGATGCTCATCTAGTAAATGTTTATAATTTTTTTCCCCTCATTGTCGTCCATTATTATCTCTAAATTAGAGGCAGTAAAAGTTTCCAAATAAAGCGCTGAAAGCTTGATGAGTGTGAGTGATCATTCTGCAATGCTTCTTTACATCAGCGAAGGAGATCATCGACATGTTTTGCATCTCCTCTCGGCCGTTTAAAAGAATTTATTCAGCCTGGCGAAGGAGCTTGTTTGTTGTGAGCTGTGTAAGGACTGGGCAGTCAGCGGCTAATTTAATCAGCGGTAATTTCCTCGACAGGCCCATTACTTGAATGAAACCCTGAGAGATCTTTATAGGTCCAAATGAACAGGGTTAGATGTTTTATGGAGCATTCACTTAAGCTGTCTTGCTCCGCTTTGATTGAATCACAGCTCCAGCAAACAGCAGGTCTGATGTGAAGCGCAAGGATTCAACTGCGGTTCATCAGCGCAAATCTTTTGACCAGTTTTTTGACCTGCTCTTTTGAATGTAAAATTAAATGTTGTGCAGTTTTGCATCACTTATGACTGGGGAAAATATGTACAATGCAATAAAAATGTAATTGATAAAATATGCAATACTAATCAGAACTTTTACATAAATTTATATATTTTTGTTGTCGTTTTTACTTTTTCAGAAGTGCCTAGCTGTCACTCTGTTTATCTCAGACAAGAGGGATACCTGGCACACAGTAACAGAACTGAAGGTAACATATGCAAATGTATTATTTGAAGCCTTGAAGAACTATATAAGTCCTTATTGTCAATTTTTTTTCATTTGGATTGTGAACATTATATTACATATTTTTATTTTGAAGTAATTCATTTATTATTAATAATAATTGATGGTTATTGCCTGTGCCATAAGAAGGTCTATGTATTGTACATTGTTCGTAATTTATTTTCTGATTGTAAATAATAATAATAATAATAATAATAGTAATAATAAACCTTATCTCCTAAGGAGATAACACTTTTCAGTTTCAGTATTAAAAATCAAAAGTTATAGTGATTTGATATTTCTCAAGTGTGGAAGAACGGTATATGTCCAGTTAGTGTGGAATAACAGTATAACTCCAATTCATCATATCACTTTAAATCACTAAATATCTGATTCCTTTATCTCAGGATGCTTTCACACCTAGACTTTTGTTTCGGAACCTGACGATTTCCCCAGTTAGCGCGGTTCGTTTGGCATACGTGAATCCAGCAATCGAGCTCGGACCCAAAACAATTGGTCCGAGATCGCCTGAATGAGGTGGTCTCGGCTTGATTAAAAACAAAGTCTGGAGCGGATCAACTGTAGTGAGAAAACAATACAATCCGATCCCGGCTATATCAGTGTATTATGGATATGTAACAGGTATCAAAGTTCATGCACATTTTTACTACAGAAATTCCAGGACTTTTCCAGGACATTCAAGTCAGTTTTCATGACCTAATGTTTTATTTAACATCTATGTGTACATGGTAAATCATAAGAAAACCACTGCACGTTTATATTTATTACAGCATATCATAAAACAAGCAATGGTTTCGATTTATTCTTATATCTATGTAAAATAGATGATGCTTAGACAGCACTAATGATGCAAGTGCATGTCTTTGGCCAAAAAAAAGTAAAAACAACTAATTTTAAACTAATTTTAGGTAATGTTAATAGTTTGTTCGGTAGGTAAAACTACTTCTATTGTAAAGCTGCGATCACACTGCACTTTTCACTCCATAGACTTCCATTTATACACTGCAAAAAATGCTTTTCTTACTTAGATTTTTTGTCTTGTTTCTAGTCCAAATATCTAAAAATTCCTAAATCAAGAAGAATTTTCTACACAAGCACAACATATTGTCTTGTTTTGAGAAATAATATGCTAATATTAAGTGAGTTTTTCCTTAAAACAAGCAAAATAATCTGCCAATGGGGTAAGCAAAATAATCTTACGTCAAAAGAAAAAACAAGATTATTTTGGCATATTATTTCTCAAAACAAGACAATATGTTTTGCTCGTCAAGAAAAGTCTTCTTGATATGAGAAATTTTAGATATTTAGACTAGAAACAAGACAAAAAATCTAAATAAGAAAAGCATTTTTTTGCAGTGTAGGCACGCGAATGCGGCAGAAACGCAAGCACTTTCTTGCATTTCACTGCATTCGAAAGTTCAAGCTTGGTGAAGTCTTACCTGCAAAATCACATCAGTTAGACAGATAAAAAATAACTTAAAATAAGAATTTTAAATTATGGAGCAATCGCTCACTTTTATTAATGTCTAATCATATTGTTTAACCCCGCCCCTTTTCACAGCACAGAATTTCACAAGATCTATAGTGTGACTGCAGCTTAAGCCACTTTGGACAAAAACATCTGCTTAATGACTAAATGTAAAAATTATTTCCATGACTTTTTCAAACCTTTGTGGGTTTTTCTGTTTTTTTTTTTTTGTTTTCAAATAACAGAACAGGCCTAGAAAATGCCATGTCAAAATTCCATGACTTTTCCAGGTTTTCCATGACCGTATGACCCCTGAGGCATATACTGTATGGCTATGTGATAAGAGAATTATGAGTAGGGCGGGATGTCATTCCTACTGGTAAATGTGCATTTCATGTCAAATAGTTAAAGAATGCTGAACTATTAACAAAAGCTGTTTTTTCCGTTAGAAAAATTGACTGAACAGCAGTCTTGGTTTATCTGTTATGCCTCTCTATAATGCAAAGCCTATAATGCATAATTCTATCCAACGGCTATGTTTTGTCTTACCTCTGATTCATATTTAATGACGATGTCTGTGGGTGTCACCATTCAAAATTAAAGTGCAGGTTTTCACTTATAGTATCTTATTGCTCATCGTCATAAATTAAAATAAGGACACGTGATAGCTGAGCAGGACTGAAAAATGAACATTGCAACAATTTGAATCCCTGTTTCAGAACAAGAGAATCAATCCACAGGTGTGAAAGGACCCTCAGTTTAAATACAGTAACACAAACTTCAGGTTAATATTAAGCCTTTTTTTTCAAGTTCATTATTATTAATAAACAGAAAATACAGTATGAACAATATCAAATACACAGAGCTTCTTACAGTACAGGCAATAACAAACAACTATTACCAAAAAAAAGTACAACAATAAATACATACAATGCTGACATACTTCATAGCTAAATATTGTTGTTTATTTAGAAAAGCTGGTGCAGTGCGCCTGTCTATATATATATATATATATATATATATATATATATATATATATATATATATATATATATATATATATATATATATATATATATATATATATATATATATATATATAGAAAGTGAATAAATAAAAAAAAATAACTGTATATGTGCTGATAAACGCACCTCTGTGCATATTTATATATATCTCTTCATATATACATATCCTACAATCCCCTCTTTCAGTGTATTCTTCCCTGAGTTTTGTTCTCCTCTTTGATTCTTATATGCTTTCCCAGCAACCCACAAAGCCTTCCTTACTCTGTCCTTCCAATTGTTCATATCGGCTCTCCTTTTTAATGTCCAAAGCGCACATG